GTACATGTACTTGTTATAATTCGATCAAACTGTATCCCTGGAACCCTGAACATTATCCTGTATGTCACTCGAACCAGCTGAACCTCTTTTACAATGGTAGTACACTGACACCATCGCGCAACAGTTAAAGGGAGATTACTGTATGTAGGAAAATCTACTGTGGATTTCTCTAGTATTTTGCAGGCTGTGGTGAAGTGATCCTTACCAAGGTCAATGACATCATACAAGCATGGTTGGTGTCGGATTTTTTCCTGTTTTTTTATTAGTTTATGTTAGTGTGTTTTATGTTTATTTTTGTTTTTAGCAATAAACGCTTATTCAGTGGCATACAATTTAGATCATCTTTATGAGGAGAAGAAAAAAATAGATCTTGAAGACAAGTCGTATTTAATTATATTATTACGAAACACCAACATTAAACGTGATATATTCCATTTTTCAATTGCTAAACCTTTTGGAAACAGGAAGATGGGTAGACGTCAATAACAAGGTTTGTTGATAATTGCTGTAACTAACTTTATCATTATGTACATTTTATGCATATTGGCATATACATATCTATGGTTTGGCTTAACATAGTCGGTTCTAAAAGGACTCGGGAACAGGATATTATCTACTGTAAAACATTGAACGGCTTCCTTGCTTATTTTTTCGAGCTGTCTACCTCCGCTACCCTATAACTCGCTAAACCAATACACCAACACCTCGGGTATGAACTATACACATTGACGGTCTAACAAACTAAGTGAGTCAAATGAAATCGTATTTGTGGTTAATATTCCATAATTTTGGACTTTTATGCTCGTGAATATGAGGAGATATGAACCTGAATATGTGACCGAGACGAAGCGGAGTTAAATTTCATTTTTGTCATGTTCATATTACATCATATTTGTAGTTTGTGTTTTATGCGCCATTACTATTGAATAGTTCGAGAATACAAAAGGCGGTCAACATACAGGTCTACTTATGTTTATCTTTTACTTAAGTTATGGTATATAAAATAAAATTACCAAAGTACCAACACACAACGGAATTTATCAGCTGTTATGTGTGGCGATGACCAGTCAAGTAAAACTATTTATTGTATGCACGTAGTAAAGTTCGAAACGCAAACAAATGGAATGCACTTATGCAATTATAAACATAATTTGAATATGTCACTCAATCATTAAAACAAAACATATATTCATGATAATGAAATCTTTTGATTGCAGTCGATTCGTATGTATTCCTGAAACATTTGTACTGTAATGAGGCAAACGTTTGTTAACAATTTTTGCATAGTGTTGAAACGAAAGTATGTCTTCATTAAAACAAAAAAGATAAAATTAAGCAGTTATTAACACTTTGTGCGACACATAACAAGGACATTATCTTGCCATTATTATGATATGTTGTGTTGTATTCATGACCCGTTTGTAATAAGAGAAGGCCATATTTGTTTCGGAGTTTGGGGTCATCATAACAGAACTGGGAGACATTGCAGGACAAAGAGAGTAGATAAGAGAGAAAGAAAGTAGAATGAAAGATAGAAAATGTAAGTAAAGAAAATGTTGCAACGGGGCAGCATATCACTTGTGGTCGTTTCATGTCCTATGAGTAAAAGACAATAAAGAAAACCCTCGATCTAGAGGGGCTTACACTTTAGTCACCTTTAACGATACACATACAGTGGGATACAGCAGGGGAGATTGGTCACCTCTTGCAATCATGCAAGGGGATAGTTAAGACCTTCTCTCTCCCCAAACCTGAACTGTAGTTTACACACACTTGTATGTGTTGTTCTGTAAGATGTAAAAATTGTGATAGTACAGCTGGATATAATATCTATCAATGTTATATCGTATTGCTTAATTTGAAGTTGTATTAACCTGTCTTTAACAAAAGAAAGGCTAAGCGCAATAGCACATACTGTAAAAGAGGAAATTGTTACGGTGTTGTAATATTCACGGTGTGGAAATTGTCACGGTGTGGTAATATTCAGGGTGTGGCATTTGTCACGGTGTGGTAATATTCACGGTGTGGTAATATTCACGTTTTCGTGTTAAGTATATTAATGTGCAAACATATCAAAACGCAAATATGCATGTGTGGATCATATTGAGTGCATATAAATATAGGATTTAGAATATATCCACAATGCTATCAGTTGAAAGAGCCACAGGGTGAGCTTTTTAACACTCGAGAATTTCCACGTAGATTGTTTACCTGCTATTAACGCTTTTATACTTGTTATTGCTGAGTAAATAGGCTTTGTTTCGTATCCAGATTTATACCAATGTTAAAACTTGAATCAGGTATCGAAGACCGATACATAATCATTGAATCGCACATCAAATATAGACATTGCATGAAAACATTAACCAATTTAAAAGGGACCTGGCCTTGTATACCTTAATGAATTACAAGTCCATTAAAGGTAACCAATATTTTTTCTACTCTGCATAGTTACTAATTGTTCAATGTTTAAATAGCATAAATGACGATGTTTTCTGAGTCTTTTATAAGAATAAAATAGAATTTCATTCATTGTAGCAATATCCTTTTATTTTCATTACATGATGTGGTTCATTTATGAGAGTATAACTGCAGCTGTTGTTTGCAGTGTATGAACACATAGCATGAGAATTAATGCAATGATTGCGCGACTACACGCTCGGAAAATTATTCTTCAAAACAAAACATTGAAAAAAAACAAGTTCCGGCACTTAAATGTTGCTTATCTAATACGGTTATTCTTATTATTTCAAATATTGTTTATTTTCTTAAGATTAAAACAAATGACTGAGTCGGACATGACAGCTTTGTTTTATGAATCGATTTTAAAGGAAACAGCGCATGACGTCGTGTGTTCCTCAGTTGCTATTCTAGTAATTTACATGTAGATAACACCGATCGCTCACTCAGTCATAGCTTGACAAATTAAAGGGACCAGTTGGTCTTGAAACGTTGCGACACGTTTAATACGTACATTGTTTGTGTAACAAGTAAAACTTTGATACAAACCTTTGTTGAGGTCATTGTCAGTCATTCTCGTTCGCGTAGTGATACATACACCGTGTAAATATGTGTACGTTAACAACCCGAAGGTTTCCAATGCTATTTTCGGACATAATCATAAGCACTAGGGATACGAGATTTGTAAACAAATGTTGAATCTCTGAATAAAAACCACATATAAAATTGAAAACGATGCCATTTCTCGTGTAATTAAGGTTAGCAAGTACGTGAATCGTTTTGTAGGGTCACCCAAGGCTGACTCGAGTGATGGCAACGTGGCGATTGTTCGTCGTGGGAACTTTGACGTTATCGCTAAATCTAACACAATCACGTGTCCCACAAAAACATCTGACAATGACGGGGTTCCCACACAAACTTCCATCTCAAATGCGTCCGTTTTGTCTTCAATGTAGTACGGTATGTTGACAAATTAATCGTTCACAAGCTTCTCCTTCAACTTCAATGTCAGCGTTTGAAGGAAAACCTTGATAGAACTACAGTATAACCTGTCTAAACCGGATGGCACCGGGACCAAACTATTTGTCCGGTTTACACAGGTGTCCGGTTTATACAGGGTCGGCATGTCATTCTTTGAAATTACAAAAATGTAGTGTTTTGCATACGATCTGTATAAAAGTGGGTCAACATAAACAACAGAGAAATGAATCAATTGCAACGTTTAATTATTAACAAAATATAAAGTATCTATTACAAACGAATGACGACCCAACATTGGATAGCGCTAATTTGTTTAGAATGTGTTTGCTTTAGATTGTGGCTAACAGAGGACCGGAATAAACAGGTTGTTTTAACATGGTTTACTATGCCAACATTTATAAAACGCCGGTTTTCGGAATGAACAGGGTCAAGTTTATACAGGGTTTAACTACTATGATTAGATAAGGAATATGCCGGAACCACAAACCACGGCCTGTTTAGACAGGGATCCGGATAAGACAGGGGCCGGTTTGGAAGGTTATACTGTATAAATATAAGGATTACCTTTTCTTAGTTCAGGTTATCGGCTGGTAACTACAATGAGAGTGGTGAAACAATTTCACGTTATGGTAGACATCACTCCCACTGCTGTTTATTACATGGATTGGGGGGGGGGGGGGGGGGGGGGGGGTGAAACACACGTTATGGTAGACATCACTCCTATTGAGGTTTATTACACACGTTGGGGGTGATAAACACATACACGTTATAGTAGACATCACGCCAACTGCTGTTTAATACACGGGTTGGGAAAGGTGAAACACATACACGGTATGGTAGACATCACTCCCACTGCTGTTTATAACACAGATTGGGGTTGGTGAAAAACAAACACATTATGGTAGACATCACTCCTATTGATGTTTATTAAACGGGTTCGGAGTGGTGAAACACAAACACGTTATGGTAGACATCACTCTCACTGCTGTTTATAACACAGATTGGGGTTGGTGAAAAACAAACCCCATAACGTGTATGTGTCTCACCAACCCCAACCCGTGTTATAAAAAGCAGTGAGAGTGATGTCTACCATAACGTAGACATCACTCTCACTGCTGTTTATAACACGGGTTGGGGTTGGTGAGACACATACACGTTATGGCAGACATCACTCCCACTGCTGTTTATAACACAGATTGGGGTTGGTGAAAAACAAACCCCATAACGTGTATGTGTCTCACCAACCCCAACCCGTGTTATAAAAAGCAGTGAGAGTGATGTCTACCATAACGTAGACATCGCTCTCACTGCTGTTTATAACACAGATTGGGGTTGGTGAGACACATACATGTTATGGTAGACATCACTCTCACTGCTTTTTATAACACGGGTTGGGGTTGGTGAGACACATACACGTTATGGTAGACATCACTCCCACGGCTGTTTATAACACAGATTGGGGTTGGTGAAAAACAAACCCCATAACGTGTATGTGTCTCTCCAACCCCAATCTGTGGTAGAAACAGCAGTGAGAGTGATGTCTACCATAACGTAGACATCTCTCTCACTGCTGTTTATAACACAGATTGGGGTTGGTGAGACACATACATGTTATGGTAGACATCACTCTCACTGCTGTTTACAACACAGATTGGGGTTGGTGAAAAACAAACACGCTATGGTAGACATCACTCCTATTGATGTTTATTAAACGGGTTCGCAGTGGTGAAACACATGCACGTTATGGTAGACATCACCCCCACTACAAGTGTTAAATTATTAATACTTTTAGCTCAAAAACTAGCTATAACTTATAGTGTAAACTATTTAGTTGTACGAGCCCTATACCATTGGTTAGGAGTAGTGAAATACACACTACGTAACATCCCTCCCACTTGTTTTTAGCACGGTAAAGGAGTGATAAAACACATAAAAATGGTAAACACACTCCAACCGCTATTTACTACACGAATTGTGGGTGGTGAAACACATTAGGGGACATCATGCTCATTTTGTTTATTACGCGGGCTAGGTGTGTGAAAACACATACACGTGGTAAACATAAGTTCCACTGCTGGTCATTACTTGGGTCGTTGGTGGTGAAACACAGATCATGGTAGAAATCGCTCACATCTGTTATTCATTACACGGAGACACAAGCATTAATTCATTATTGCGACAAAGAACGATACATGTTTAGACAGTAAGAAAAAAACGAAGAAAATATGGATACTCAAAGGGAATCGTGAGAGCGTAGGGAATGGAATCCGCAAAATATCTAGAGGAAAGACGACCGTTGATTGCTTGTATCTGAAATGCCCTGTGTATTTTAAAATTGCAGGGTCAAATGATGAAAATGTGTAAACGAGCGTTATAATTTAAAAAAGACTCTCAAAGAGGATAAAAGGCAACGAAACACTGAATTTGTGAAACAAATCGTGTTTTTAGCAACAAACAATACACTATACCTGTCACGAAAAAGTAAATATTCGAACATTTGTATTTCCTGGTAGTAATCTATACAAAGATTTTATATTTAGATAGAAAGACAAACCGTATTAAGTATCAACACAAAATGGAATCAAAATGACGTCACTTCGTAAGGACAACAGAACACTGTCAGTACCATGATCAAACAAAAGTAAATTTCGTGACTTTTAATTCGTTACTGTTATCACTATTTGGTTATGCAGTTGAAATATTGACTAACGTACAAAGATAATGCTTATTTTTGCAGGAGTTGTTTCCCTTTGGCTAAAGTTTGGTTTCGGGTTTTTTAAAGAACACATGTTTACGTTATGTTGAGGATATCGGTTATTCAAAACTTAACCAGGCTTTACCCATTCTGATATTTTACGGATTCGCTAATATGATCAATTGCCCGGATATTTTTTGGCAGATTTAAAATCTAGTTTCCATTAGACATAGTCCTTACGCAAGAATGGATCAATGTCCCGTTTGTTTCGCAGGTGGCATTTTCGCAGAAATAAAATCGTTATCACGAATCATTGAAGCACAAAGTTAGCATTTATGATATGTCACGAAGAGTCTGCCCTGATCAGGGATGTGGCAGAATATGAAACAATGGTTTTCGATTGGTGCAATTGTCATTCATTCAAGTCTTAGACCTACGTTGTTCAATATTTATAAATGATCTGTCTAATATAATTTATGATTTATTTCCTCTGAGTTTGAAAATCGTATGTATCAAATTTATTTACGAAAGAATATATGTTATATATGATTTGTCTATATTTTGGTGTTCTCGATTTCTTTCTCGATGACATCTTCCGAAAATTCTTCATTTTTCGCAAACCTGTTTCCTTGGCCACATCCTATGAAGAGCAGAATGAACGCAAAAAGAACAATACAAGCTCCAAATCCCCCAGTGAGGTATATAAATGTACGGTAACCGTAGTTATCATATAGATATCCTATGATCCACATGTACGACATCCCTCCGAGAGCGCCACCTAGGAGGCAAAACGTGATGGCCATCCCTGTCATTTCTACATGGAAGTCTCCCCAAGCAATACCGGTAGGAAACAATGGCGCAATGAAGAAACCCATCGGCATTGAAAACACCCAGAGCAGAGTTGAGTCATTGTAGGCAAATACATTCAGGAGAACAGCAGATACTAGACATCCGCATGCTTCAATGATCATCAAAGTACGAATCGGTATCCACCGAGCTGTTACGAAACCGGTGAACCTGCCACACGAAAAACTGATCCAGAAAGCCGTGTTAAGAAGCGTTGCGTCATCGCCATCAAAGTTCAACTCATCAATGGCAAAGGTTCGTAGGAATTTGCCGTAGATACGTTCGCCGCCTACTGCAGTGAAGAAGTACAAAAAGAGAAACATAAAAATGACCACTCCGTACATCTTCCGTCCGCCAGTACAACTTCCAGGGTTAGCTATCTTCACAAAGGATTTCAATGTACCAATGAAAGATTTCGTTTGAGTGGCATTGCCGTCTGAAGCATTTGCATGGCTTTCGATTTCTTTGTCCGAAATTTTCATATTTACATCTTCACTAAAATTTGTTGGTTTTCTGCGATCGTTATATTGATAAAAATAGAACGCAAATGATACTATTACAGATATGCAGGCGACAATTAGATACGCCCATTCGATTCTGGAATCTTTTACGTATTCTATTGTCGTTGAGAGTGGTCCGGTCGTTGTTGAAGTCTGCAGTGTCGATGTCATGTTCACAGTTGCGTTAACACCGGATGTGCTGAGTGTCGGCGCAGGCACAGCCAGGAAAGGGTTAGCTATTTCCGGTACGATGAACGATCCAATACCGAAACCCAAATGAAGAGCGTGCATTGGTGATGAGGCTTTGTCTAGCCACATGTCCAGAATCAACTTTTGTCCCGCTGTAACAAAATATATAGCTGTTATCAATGAAGTGTTCAGCACAAGTCTATGTATTGTAATTTTGACATAAACATAAAACACAGGAGGAGAAAAAAATAATTTTAAAGAGGAATACATGCATAAACTTCATCTAAAAAGGTAAAATTTAAAAAGAAAACATGACATGTCACTTGTTTAAGCTGAACATTGGAGGAAATAATGAGTGTTTTGCAATAAATGACATCAAAAAGTGAAAAAAAAATCCTGCCTGTACATTTATCTATTTAACTTCAAATAACATTCGGACGGATGAATGCAATCCTTTTATTTACTAATGAAGAGCCATCGAAAGCCATTCAAATTATTCCTGGAAGTGTAACCTAGACCCATATAAACCACTCATTTAGCTGTATTTCTGATTGCATTGAAATGGTGTCTTATAGTGTAAGGTAAGTGCAATGTGTAAAGGACATACAACCATGTGTGCACGTGTCCGATCTGCAAGTTCAGTGTTTCGATTAAATATAATAAATGTCGTATTCGGCTTCAATGAGGATTCAAATAGTAAAGGCCGCGTTGTGCTTACAATACTCACACGACCAAACAATGGAAAGAAAATTTACAAAAAAATAACAATTTTTTGCTTCGCTTTTTTTCCCCCATAAGCGAATAAAATCCAATGTTTGTCTGCCAAGGTCTCAGAAGAGAAAATCTAATTTGCATACGTGTGAATAAAATCAATCAAGCAAGCGCTCAATCGATTTTATTTGCGTGTTATAAATAATAAACATATATATATATAAGTATTCATGTTGATATGAAAATTAGAAAAAAAAACATATAATTTCATATTAGAATGTGATACCCAGCCAAATTTTTCTGACGAGACATGGTATAAACTCACTGTTACAGTATCCCATGCTACATTCTAGCAGGTAAATTGGGAAACGCATCCGTTGACACGATGCACGCCTCCGTATCATGTCTACACAGAAAAGAACAAATGCGATCTCGTCCTTTTAAAGACATTCTTGAGGATGGAGAACACGCCAGATAAAAATGAAGGCAGACATTCAACGTTTTAACAACGTTTAACTTCATCGTTTTTTCAACGTTCATTAAGCATTAATAGGCTTGCTAGTGTATGCTGTATTACTAGACATATCAATACACACATTAATTTGATTTGACAAACTTAATTGATAAATACAAATGTATGTGTTCCCCTTTCTTTGTATTTCTAGTATTTAGTTTTACGTAACAAGGTGATTGACTCTGCCAATGGACTATCAGGTAATTATTTGTGGTTTAGACACAGGTATGAAATACTTTCACAGAAACAATGTTGAAATTTATTATCCAAATTCAAATACATTTTCCAAGCAAATAACGTAAAGCATTGATCTGCATACTTACAAATATTGATAACGCCTTCAAAAGTCCCAGCAAGGACAAACAGGGCCCATATAACGTTCACACTCGTCATATACGGGGCGATTGTTGTTACCACAGCTATTCCGTCCAGACATATCGCGATCATGAGGTTACAGAATGGATGCAGCTTGTCCACCAAAACCCCACCAATGGCCGCCCCGATAAAGAATCCCACACTTCGCCCAGATATAGCTCGGCTCACGTCCTCATAACTGCTGTCCGTCTTCAGCCTCAAGTCCTTGAGCGTAGGTCCGGTTATCTCCAGAGTCAGACCCTGAGGAAATAATCAATATTTCATAGAATTTAGAGACGAATTGACTGAAATCGACCATTCAAAAACGTACGTCTTCTAATATTTTTGTGTTTCATTTAATAACAAGAAAAAAACTGCAGCCAGGACACATATACCTTCATAATCTACCTGTTTTCTCGTAAGTTGTTACGAATCCCAGCAACACTGTCAGAAACTGTACCTCTATATTGGAAACTGATATTTTTGACATGACTAACTTATAGCTTCCATAAATCATTTCCGAAAGTATAAAAAAAAACTCATAAAGATGAAATAAACCAAACAATAATCAGTGTTCTAATAATAAAAAAAGATCGGAAATAGACCAGGATTTGAACATTGAATTTCAAAATACTGCCGCTCTAACCGACTTTTCTAACATGTCATCGGAAGAGACAGGTCCTTAACGAAATTTAAAGGAGGTAACTGTATAATAAAACACAGTTGAATTCTCTAGTATTTTGCCTGAACAGTTGAACAGGAAACCTTAGTTCTCTTGTCGGCGTTCCGTTACTAGAGCCACATATAGGATCTTACAATTTTTCATAGAAATAAGGCTACCATCCTAATTCCCCGCTAAGTACAAAATATCATGTAGAAATATGGATTTTTTTCGTGGCTCGTGGACAGGAAAATCGCTACCCGAGGGTAAGATTTTGGATGTCCAGAACGAGACAATTTACAAAATTAATTCATTTGCAAACACAGTCAACACAACAATGATATTTTAGACGCCGAGAATGCGAGCAAAGGTCAGAGGTCAAGTATGCACAAGTGTTTCGTGACGTCAAAGCGCGTGTGGGCTGTCTTTCTCGTCAAGTTTATCTTTTTTTACGGGTAAATTCCTTTCTTTTACTACCAAGAATTGGAGAAAATTATGCTGAATGTAATTTATATATGACCACTACTGAGCATTTTTTGTCATTTCTGTTTGTCACAAATAGGTGAAGAAGAACAGAAAGATTGCTGCTCATGTATGCCTACAACATCAACCATTGTTTTATGTTGGAATAAGATCTGTAAGATTATTAATAGAATATACAGAGGATGTCCAATTTGTAACGATATAGATTACCATAGTTTAAAAATATCTCTTAAACTTAAAGTAAACAACAATATCGTTCCTAGTGTAGGAAATCCGAGGCAAATAGACGGAATAAATACTGACTGATACGGAAATTATGTAAACCCCTTTACTCTAGATTACTTAAACTTCCCAGCATTTATGGGAGAAATGGTATGATAGTTAATAGTTATTCTCGTTTCCTTTATAAACAAGGGATTCACGTTTGGTCATTATCTATCGCGTGTTAGATTTGCGCTTCTTCGACTCCCGGCACCATAGGAAGTCGTGTCGTTCTTCTAAAGGAGGTAACACATATCAGACGAGATAATTTTTATCTCAGAGTAGCACTTGGAGGTCAGTAAGGCCTTACCGTATAAATCCTCATAAACACCGCAAACGAGATACATTGTAATATCAGTTTGGATTTCGGTATATGTGTAATATAACATTATTAATAATTGTAATAATAATAATAATTCGAGGTTCTGTTAAACCGCTTTATTCACAACCTAATTCGTAGGTCGTCACAAAGCCATTCACAATTTATTATCAGTGGTTATGGGGCCTTTGCGACCAGCCAATATCGTTTTCAACTCCCCGGGGAGTAACAGCCGATGCTACCTTTTCGGCGCTTACGGCTAGCATGGAACAGGCGGAGTTAAGTATCTTGTTCAAAGATACAACACAGTGCCGTGTCGTGACTCGAACCCGCAACCCTTTGGTCACGAGCCGGGCGACCTACCACTAGACTACCTCCTTAAGGCAGGCTCTCTCTTTGAAGATCATCCTCGATATTCCAAGAGTTACCCTCGCTTACCTTCTATGGACCATCAGAATATGCCATGGCGAAATCAGGGGTTGTGTGCGCGCCAACAGTAACATACATATAATCGCACGACAACGTAACGGTACATTTGACCGGCTGTGAAGTAGGGTGTCGCTCCTCGTTAATCTTCAAAGAACACGTATCAACCTAGCGATTGGTTTCTTTTTTCACTCAAATTAAATAACTTGTTGTGTGCCTAAATGTTGTAATGTACGTAGCCCCCGAAGGGACATGGTAAAACATTTACTAATCCGTGCGCACGAGTTACCAAACCGTGCGCACGAGTTACCAAACCGTTCACACGGATTACTAAACCGTGCGCACGAGTTACCAAACCTTGCGCACGAGATACCAAACCGTGCGTACGGACTACCAAACCGTGCGCACGAATTAACAAAACGCCGGGTGTACCAGTTAGTAGGGGTTATCTTTCTGTTCTCATTAGTTCTTCTCCAATATTTGATAGCCAATTCCTACCCATCAACGGGAAGTCTACATAACGTAAGTATCGCGAACTTGACAAGGCAGCTTTATTTGCTATTGATTAGCACCAAAATGTCAAAACATTTAGTGTTATTTATTGCATACTGTTGGTAATTTTATAAACGTGAGCACTTTGGTTTGCCATTTCTCATTTAAATTCGTTTACATGTATAGCTCATCGCCCCTCCTCATTGGCTGATACTCTATAGTAAGTGTGTTAGTATATTTCACAAACTGTGCATTATTGTACCGTTTCCCTCTGTGTTGTTTACATCTTATGTCAACTTATCACAAAACGCAGTGACACTATGAAAACACACAGCAATTTTCCCCCTCCCTTTGTCCATAAATTGTCCGTGATATTTGGAGAAATTGGGTCGGTTAGGGTAAACCGCCCCGCCCATATTGACATTGGTGACACAAATCGTTTTGATAGAATGGATGCACATGTACAAGACTGACACTAAATATCGTAACGGGTTTATCACCGCAACTTCCATTCTATAAGTGGTCTCTGTCAATTTTTTGAGATATTTTTCAACACTGGTCACCTTTGACTATATGGTGAATGCAGATTGCGATACACCGATATCATAAGGGAGGGAAACCAGCACGATCCTATTCAGCCCCGTTACGTTTGCTTCCTAAGTGTTGGTGCAAATCTGACCCCGATCAAAGCCACTCACCCAAGTCATTAGACCCCAAGAAAGGTTTAGGGAATGTTTCAGAAATCTCACAGACACCTAGCTTTTTTACCAAGTCCATATTTCGGACCTCGACATATCACATCACCGATCTCCCCCGAATATTTGTCTGTGCATTTCAACTTTATGCTTTCTCAACTGTCACTAAATATGGTGATGTACATGTACAAGAAGAGAAACTCACAGAGAACCAAAATATAGTGCAATGCACTCAAAATATCTGGTATAAATTGTACAGCCCAGGCAGAAGTTTGTAAACGTTTTGTGATGTAATGACATTTTAAGTGAAGGTCAACGTGAACTAATCATAATATTGTACCTCATCTTTATAACCACGTGTCTGATAAGATACTACTGGTAACATGACAAAAAGCGCTTTAATTTCACGTTGAGATATATATCGACGATGAACGGTATATGTACCCTCCAGTGCTTGAAATCAAGGATACCACAGACTTTTCAACTTCAGCCGCTTTTCGCAATCTTCACTTGCAACATGACCAAAAGGGACGGCCAACTACTAAGCTGTATGATAAGCGGAAGGATTTCACTTTCCTATCGTGAACTTTCCCTTTCTCGATAGCAACAAGCCTGCTCCCCCATTAACGGTGTACTCATCAGAATGCCTTGTGGTTTGTTGTCACTAATCGGGTTCTCGTTGTGAGGACGTGACATTACTTCGTTTCGACTTAGATTTACATGGTGGGTTTCACTGATGAAGCAGAAGACGCTAACCCTTCCGGAACACCTGGTCTTATTCGCCTTGTACTCTTTCATAGGTATACATGTAAATGTTTTCTTTCGTCATAGTTGTCACAGTCCCAACAATAGTTTTTATATATTTAGTATATGTCAACCTTATCAACCACATTTTCTATAGATTCAATAAAGATTCAATTATTGTCAGTACATAATTTTGTTCTACATTGCATTATCAATTTTGAATCTATTTATCATATTTATAATAATAACGATTTTATGTGGATTCGGTTTTAAGGACTCACACAACTTAATCAGCCACAATCGGCAAGTGTTTCAATACAATGCCTCTGACTTATTTAATATATATTGACATTTTTTAATTGAATGAAATCTACATATATTTTTAAGTTTGAAATGATATTTAAGTTGATTTTATTATGTGATGGCGGATTTATATGGGGTCAAAAGTCAGGGTGTGCTCTCGACCCGCTTCACCGGTAAGGCTTGTACACTTCCGGTTATCAAAAGCAGAAACTTGTAGCGCTCTTATATGCCACTAAACCTGCCAAAATATGCCCTTTGAAGCCATTGTCAGGTATGTATCTCTGAATCTAGATAGTTGTCACTAGTGCTGAACTTTAATTATTAAAAGTACATTCTAACAGTTTGTCCCTGATTTGGGGCTTGTGTAAGTCTACGTATTGACGTTTTGTAAAAGAATATAGTCCTTCATTGAAGGACAATCATACAGCATGATGGTGTACGCTGATAGTTCAATTTAGCCAAATTATGAAGAAATAAAACACAAAAACATATTTCAAATGTCAAGTTTCATTTTGTTGTTAATGAATTTATAAGTTTAGGTATTAAATTTTCTGACGCGTCATCGCGGAAGAATAATGTCTAGACGCGGTGCGCAGGCTCAGCTGCGAATCTATTATACTAGCTAGAAGTTGATCATGAGAGTCGCTAAATATTGAGGTTATATATCTTCTTGAATTTGAAGCTGCAATAATTGAATGTTGAGTTAGATAAGAAACCAGGCGTGACTTGAAAGGACGAAATAATTTAGTTTAAATTTTATTTTATTGATGTTAAATTACAATAGTACATGGTTATAAATAAAGAAAAAGATCCAGAAACAAGTACATAGTACTTATGTAAATCCGTCTCCTTAATAATTTGACATGGCAGTTGGCTGTTCGACTGCCTTTCATATATGACGTGACCACATGGATGTGTGATCCACGTTGTTTTCGATTTGTACCGGGGGTTGAAACTGACACAAGAGGCAAAATGGGTAGTTGGAGGGATAATTTCTAGGGCAGACATGAATTGTCT